GAACATGACACAATCCAGACCCAAAGGTGAGGTATGCCAGGACCTCCTCTGTCGTTCTTAGACCCAGCTGTTCCGTGGAAGGTTAAACATTTATTTTTGCTGGGGCTCTGTGAGTTTGTTTTTATTGCAAATTGATTCTCTACTACAGGCTGCCATAGAAGGGGGCTTTAAGTAGGTATGCTGTTGGAAGGACCCCCCATATCCCTTTGTTTCGCTCTGGTATTACCCTCCTCACCACTACCAGTTGTGAAAAATGACAATGAAAATTTCAGAGGCAGCTTGGATTCCCTCAGAGAAAAGTGTCTCTTAGGTACTAAAGGAAGAACCACACAAATAATAATTAAAAATGACACAGCCAGGTAGTGGTGTGTGGTATGCATTTTGGCAAGAGTCAGCATTTTAGAGCAGGTCTCTCCGTGGTGGGGGAGAACAGGCCAAACAGGCTTTTAAAACCACCATTCCAGAAGGAAAGGGGAGGGGTCGGGAATATGAGAGCATGTTTCTGTTGGTGAAGCTGGTTTTCTATTAAATGTTTGCAGGAGAGGTGGACAGCAGATCCATTTAGAGTCATCGTTTCGTTCAAATGCTAGGAGGCAGCCAGCTGGTCTGAGATGAAATGAGGTGGTTCTCGAGGTACCACTTAAGTGGGCTGTGGCAGCTTTTGGGCTTTGAGGTCGTATTTTGTGCATGTTTCATCCCAGGTGCTTTGCTCCCTAGATATCCATGCATACTTCCATCTCTCCATCATTATTGAATGCCTGTTTGTACCAGGAACTTTCCCTCCCTCCCTTCCTGTGCCTACCTTCCTGCCACCCATTCTCAATCTATTCATTCTGCAGCCCAGATTATCGATTGCCTATTATGTGCCAGGCACTGTTCTGGGCTCTAGGAACCCAGAGTAGGAAATAGTTTAGCAGAGGAGACAGGCTCTTGAAAAAGACTGTTTTATGGTTTTTCAGCTTTGATGTGAGCTTATTAATGGCTGACTTACACCTCCTCCTCCCTCATGTGTAATGCTACGAAAGCACAGGCAGTATCTGCTTTTTGCTTACCTCTCCAGTGAGTAGTATACCGG